GCATCCACACATAACCACTAATTGCTTTAATTATAAATCCCTGAATTATTATCATCAAATAACTCAACAAAACACTCTTCAACAACCAAAATATTACTTTTATTATTATTTTACTCATAACTTGAATGCTACCCATCCAAATTTAATAAATTTAGCATCAAATGAAAGATAATTAATCCCTCCATCACTCCCTGTACATAACAAAATTAATTTTGTTTATCTACCACTTCTAATAAGAGTTTTATTGCTGCGCTGACACTGAAATTAACTGCAATGTTTCAACTTGAAGTGAAACTCATCACAATTTCCATAAAATATAAGTGCAGCCGACAACGGCATATTAAATATATTGCTTGTTATCAACTAATTGCAATATGCGCTGATATTGCGTCCGCGAGCGCGATTTTAATTAACAAACGGCGCGTAACGAATTGGAACGAAATTAAAGCCTCAAAGATTGGAAATGCGCGCGCTGCGCGTTCGTTAAAACTTTTAAATGAACACACACACATACAAAATGCAAATAATTGCACATATAGATTATATACAGAGTGTTGCAATAATTTATTTTTGTGAATTTTGCGTTTTTGATGGATTTTTGTGTAAATTTTGATTAAATTTTTGTATTTTTATTGTTTTTGATGGATATTTATTGTTACACTTGGTATATTTAATGGTTGATTTGGCTGATAGTAATTTTGCATTGCGGGGATGATTTTTGAAGGGTTTGACTGGTCGATGCGGCGAATGGCGGATGGGATTTGTGCGACGCGCAGCCGGTGTTTGATTTCAATTAAATTTTAATTAATTCCACCGTTAAACAATAACGGCGTTGCGCATTCTAAAACGCACGTGTTATGTACGCACGTTTTGCATACAATTACGGTAAATATTAGAATTACAACAAATATTATAGCAACGATTTAATGAAAATCAAAATTTTAAGTAAATAAAATGTTTTTTGTTAGTTTTTCTAAGATTACGTTCGAATTAATAAAGGGATTGATAAAATCTTTGAATTATCTGATGTAGAATTAAATTGTTTATCTATTGGTATAAGATTTATTAAATTATGTCAAATAGTTCAAAAGTTATTAACAAATTACTAAAATGAATCATTTTTAATGTTAATTATTTGCTTTCAGTGACATTTTTACAAAATTATAATAGATATTTAAATAAAATTCTCCCTAATCGATAAATAATTTAATTGTTTATATCTATACAGAATTTCATAAAATTCTTTCAAATATTTCGAAAGTTATAAACAAATTTCTTAAAATAATAATTTTCAATTTATAATTATTGCTTTTAATTGCATTTTTCTAATTTGCCACTAAACTATAACAAATATTTAAACAAAATTAAGACAAAGTGATGTAAAATTAAATTATTAATACTCACTCGAAATTTCATCAAATTCTATCAAATATTTCAAAAGTTATAAACAAATTTCTAAAAACAACATTTTTAATCCATAATAATTGCTTTTAATTGCATTTTTTAAATTTGCCATCAAACTATAACAAATATTTAAACAAAATTAACACTAATCTATGCACAATAAAATTATTTATATCCATTCCTAATTTCATCAACTTCTATTAAATATTACAAAAGTTATTGCAATTTTTTCAACTTTTACAATACCTAATTGATTATTTCACTAAACCCGCTCAGATTTTGATTAAACCGTCATCTCTTGATGTGCGCATTGTGCACGCCCGGGATGGCAGTTGTTATTCGGCGATTATTAAACGCCACTGATGCCACTAATGATAGAGAGCAGAATGCAACCGATTGCAACAACCCCTGATGCCTGCGAATGGATGAGTGTCGCATACACGGCGCGCATATTTCATTAACGACAACATGACTGCAGCCTACAAACGCACACGCAGACGCTTTTAATTAAAATATTAATATCGACATGATTAATATGCACGATGCGTGACACATTATCACTCGCCACTATCTATAATCTAGAGTTAAAGGCATCCAAATATAAAAGAACAGGGAATGAATGATTGATTAGGTGGTTTTGTTTAAATAACAGGTGGAGTTTTGGATTTATTTAAAAACAATTTATGGTAGTTTATAGATTGGGTTAGGAGGTATATTTTGTATAAAAAATTGTTTTGATATCTTTAATAGTTTCTGAGTTATTGGGAATTTTGTGTGGAAAGTAAAAAATTTGAATTTTTTTGGTTTTTTATTAATAACTTTTAAACTGTATTATATTTAAATTTGCAACTTTGAGAGTTAATGTCAAATAAATTTTCTTTCTTATGACGTTTTAATCTATATTTAATAATTAAAATTGGCTGAGTTATAATGAATTTAAATTTGAAAACTATTGTATCTAAATATTTACTTATGAATATTGCAATATTTGTTTAAAACTTTTATAACTAAAAAACTAAATTATTGACAACATACATCTTTTCATAAACATCTTTTCAGATAAATTATCTCTCTTATGATATATCCACCAATACTGTGTGATTTCAAACAGCTGAGTTATTCCACATCAAAACTCAGCTTTTTTTGCGCTTGAAAGCAAAACAGAAAAACATGAAATCCAGTAATTGTTTCGCCGGCAGTGGAAAAACCCAATGCTCCGAACGCTAGAAATTAGATTGAAATCTGAATATTTTCCGCTGATCGTGATTTTTCACCCTAGCTTTGCTCGGCTGCTGCTGCGTCGGTTGGAGGATTTTCGCTGATTTTCAGCATTCTTCCGCCGTCGTGCCGCTTTTTTTGCGGATGGTCCTGCAGGACGCGCAGGATGCGACGACCGCACGCCATTACCGTCGACGCTTGTGTTTTATTTTCGCGCTCGTTTCGGCCCCGGCCATGCAGATTCCATTATGTCGGCGGGGTGATTTTTTACGCCCCACTGACGCCGCCTACGCAACGCCGGCAATTTCCATTCAACAATTTCGACAATTACCGCTTCAACGACGGCAAAATAAAAACAAAACGAAAAAATCGAATCAGGCATCAAAACGTCGAGAATCATTATTAAATTGTGATATGTATTTTAAAAGATATTAACAATTGTTTAAGAAACAAGATTTTAATCAGTAATTTATGCTTTTGTTTACATTTTTGTAATTTAAGCGTAAATTATATCAAATATTTCAATAAAATTTATACTAATCGATGCATAATACAATTGTTTATGATTATTCTTAATTTCACTTAATTCTTTCAAATAGTTTAAAAGTTATAAGCAAATTTCTGAAGAACATAATTTTAATCAATAATTCATTCTTTTATTTACATAATTGATAATAATTAATAAAATATAATAAATAATTTAATAAAACTATTATAGATCGATGCAAAATTCAATTATTGATGTCTCAGAGAAAGAATTGGGTAATTATGTCAAATATTTCAAAAGTTATAAACAAATTTCTAAAACGTATAATTTTTAATTTTTAATTTTTGCTTTTATTTACATTTTTCTAATTAGTGCATAAACTATTAAAAATATTTAAATAAAATTGACAGTAATTGACGTAGAATGTAATTGTTTATAACAATTTTTAATTTCAACAAATTCTTTCAAATATTTAAAAAGTTATAAGCAAATTTCTACAAAAAATTATTTTAATCTTTAAATTTTGCTTTTATGTACATAATTGTTAATAATTAATAAAATATTTTACCAAATTTAACAAAAATAACACTAATCGATGCAAAAATAAATTATTAACACATCAGTAAAAAAATTACTAAATTTCCCTTAATATTTAAAAAGTTATTAACAAATTTCTTTTGATATAATTCTATTTTTATGTTGGGGTTAAAAATCTAAGTGCTCCCGATTTTATTTTTAATTTTTTTTTACTCTCCACTCTCCATGCTACGCCTACGCCTCCAACAAATACAAAATAAGCACAAAAAGCAAACGAAACAAAGCGCCAGCGGAAAACTAGCGCACAACCCGGCCGCAAACAAAAGAACGTCGGTTATAATTGGCGTTGTGCGCTCCTGCAGGACTATATCGCAGGACTCTTCAACTTCATCAACAGCGCACAAAGGGCTTTTCAACTGGTTTTCGAATCGTCATGAATAAAAAACACACTAAACCCGGAAACAGCACGGTGAAAATATGCTTGATGCCAACAATCGCGCACACATTGTGAATAAGGGATGAAAGCATTAAAAAAAATCGAAATTTAATTGAAATCAGAATCAGTCAAAAATTACATGGAATAATATATTAAACTCAAACCGGAAGTCCGCTGGTTATGCATTATCCGTTTAGTCATTGTCCTTTGCTACCCCTGCGGGTTACTAGCACTAGATATTTGTCAACCATTAATACGCCCCGTTTTCCGGCATTCCGGTTTTCCGGTTTAAGGGTTGTATCGTATTCAACATTCAACAGGAACCGCACGTCCTTGATCCAGCTCAAGCGTTCAAGCATACTGATTATTATCATATACAAAGTGTTTCAATTCAAAATTTCATTGATTTTTTAAATTTTTAGTCTAAACTTACATACACCTCGTGTAACTCAAGAACGGATAAACATATTTTAACCATTTAAATTTTTTTAGATTCATTTTATCATAAAATGAAACAATATACATTAAAACATAAAAAATATCAATATACTGAGTGTTTAAAAAATAAATAAAAAATTTTAATCAAAACTTACATACACCTCGTGTAACTCATGAACCGATAAACATATTTTAACCATTTAATTTTTTTTAGATTCATCTTATCTTAAAATAAAACAATAAACTTTAAAACATTAAAAATATCAATATACTGAGTGTTTAAAAAATAAATAAAATTTTTAATCAAAACTTACATACACCTCGTGTAACTCATCAACCAATAAACAGATTTTAATTATTTAAATTTTTTTAGATTCATTTTATTTTAAAATAAAACAATATACATTAAAATATTAAGAATATTAATATACTGAGTGTTAAAAAAATAAATAATTTTTTTTAATTTTTTGTTTGTTTCAGGTTCATTTGTGATTGTCTGGAGAAGAGGTGCTGCCCTCTTGAGTGCAGGCCAACAAATGATCTCACGTGACACACGATTATCACTAAGCGGATATAATCTACAGATTAGAGACATTCAACATTCCGATCAGGGTGATTACACGTGTCAAATCGGTGATGGATCCCCCGGGGACTTGATACATACCATCGAGATATTAAGTAAGTTATAAAAATTACCATATTTTACTCTTTGACAGTTTAATTTGAATTTGCGTGATGTAAATTACTTCCGGTTTTCACAACTCTTCGGGGGTGACAGGTGCTGGCGACTTTAAGAAAGAAATTGTGAAATTCCGGGTTTTCAACCACGTAGAATTCATTTCTTACTTTTTGATGGATTAAAGTTTTTACCTTTGCTCCACAAGTTTTAATTTCTTATATTTTTCCTCCCTTAGGGGTTGTTTATTAAATTTTTTTTGTTTTTTGAGTGAAATTTTTGTTTTTGAATGTTTTACGCAACTATTCCGGCTTCTACGTCTTGGCTGCTGTATTCACTGCCACCGTCGACAACGTATCAGTTGTAATTTTAATTAAAATTGCGGTGGAGGCGGCGAAGGCGGCGGCAAAACGTTTGATTCTGATTAAACGAGAATGGCATGTCGCCGCTGCTGACTGCAACTATTTATAACTATTTTCCACGCAGTGGTGTTGCTGGAAACATAAAACATTATGAACATAACCTCAACCGCAAGTTATGCAACTTGTTGTGCGCAAGCGGCAAGGAGTTATGAGATTATACGACGGCGGGATCAAGACTTGAAAACTTTATTCATTACGCGCGTACAGCTCGGGCGTAATCGCTGCGAACTTGTTTTACATTTTTGCATATTGTGAGCGGAGTAGTGGTGGGATTCTGTTGGAAATTTCAGGATGTGTAGAGTATTAAGTGATTGATAATATTCTGGTAGGATATTGTTGATAGGTTAATTTGTTTTTAATTTATTCATAGGTAAAGTTGGAAATTATTAAAAAATAGTTAAAATTTTGTTTTTTGAAAATATTTGGTATAAAACCGGAAATGACGGAATAAAAATTTTGGAATACATTCTTAAAATACGTAAATTTATGATGGTGAAGAGAAAATTTTAATATTTTGACCTGTTTGTGAGTTATAATGAATTAAAATTAACATAAAGTCAAAAAAGTGTGGTATAGTCCTAACGGACCTTTCTTACATTTTTGCATATAAGAAGTAAACAAGTGGAGCGATGTTACTGAAAGTTTCAGGATATGTAGAATATTGAATTATTTAAAATATACAGTTTGAATATTGTTGATATATTAATTCGTTTAAAAATTATTTATAGTCTAATTTAAAAATAATGAAAAATCCATTATAATTTTGTTTTTTGAAAAAATCTATTTTAAAACCGGAAATATTGGAATAAAATTTTTAGAATTCACTATTAAAATATGTAAATTTATGATGGTGAAGAGAAAATTTTAAAATGTTGACCTGTTTCTGAGTTATAATGATTTAAAATTAACAAAAAGTCAAAAAAAAAAACCTTTAGAAAAATCCTTTCGGATATTTTTACATTTTTGCTTATAACAAGCAAACCTGTGAAGCGATTTTATTGAAAATTTCTGGATATATAGAATATTAAATTGTTTATAATATGCCATTTGAATATTGTTGATAACTTTATTAGTTTATAAATTATTTATAGTCAAATTTGAAAAAAATGAAAAATTCATTATAATTTTGTTTTTCGGAAAAATTCACTTTAAAACCGGAAATGTTATAACAAAACCTCAAAAACAAATTTATATAATCCCGAAATTTATTATTATAAACAAAAAATAACAAAATTCCCACTCTTTACCAAATTACAAAGCATTTAAAGAGACAAAAAGTCAAAATTTGAAACACTCTCCAAAATTCTCCCCGTTTTGTCACAAAAACCATCCTTAAACAAAGATGTTTTTTGCCGTCGTCTTTTCCGGGGGTGGTACAGCAGGCGGTGTTAATTAACAGCGAAATAGCTCGAGCGCGCTCGGTGCGTTCGCGTCGTGAATCGATTAAACCGCCATCATCCAAGTTATAATGCTATGTAGATTACAAACGTGCTACACACCCACACTCACACATACACATACACAACAAACGAACGTGTAAAACTTTGACGACAAACGGTAGAGTCGCTGATTGCCGCCCCAGGATGCCGACTCCTTTTAGCGTCGCTGTAGAGTAACCAAAAGTGAACATCCGAACTCGCTCCGACAGAGGAACATCAAAACAAGCACGCGGCGGTTAACGGGGGTGGCAAGGTGGCAGAGGGGGGTGGTCTTGTCGCCAACCACCAAACCGCCACCTTCCATCACCCGAATAAAATATATAAAGTGTTCAGAAATGCAATTTTAGAGTAAATTTAAAGAGAAGAGTATAAATGAGGTTAGGTTTTGGTAACACTTGGTATATGGAAATGTTCGGGGCGGGCCTGAAGTTTTAATGAATGCAAATTGACTGTTTTGCATTTTAAACTCGCAATCAGCCGAGACGATTGCATAAATATTCATTTCGGCGCGTACAAAGGCTGAGGGAATGCGGTGTCGCCCTCTGGTGCCAACACCACACAATCAAAGATGTAAAACTTACATTTTACCCTCTTTTTTGAGTATTAGAATATTAGGGGGTGATAATAATTACATATAATCCCAGTTTGTTAAAGCTTTTGTATTGCGTGTAATCCAATTTGAAATATGGAAATTTATTTTAATTTCAGTGCCACCCAGTATACAAATGGTCCCGGCGAATGGTCAAACCACTACCCGCAAAGGGGGACCTGTGTCTTTCGAATGCAGGACTACTGGTAATCCTAATCCTGTTGTACAATGGTCAAAAAGGGTAAAAATTAAAAAAATGTTTAAAATTTTTTTTATAAATTTAAAAAAATTTAGGATGGTGTGTTACCAACTGGGATGCAAGTCCAAAGCGGGTATCTATTATCCCTCTCAGATGTACAGCGTCAACATGCAGGGGTTTACCAATGTACAGCTTCCAATGGGATTGGACAACCTGTCACAGCAGAAATAGAACTTCATGTCCTCTGTAAGTCAATTTAAATTCATTATAAATTAATGAACACCCTGTATAAAAATGTCCCCACATAGATCCACCGGAAGTCAATGTTTTACGTTCATGGGTCAACGCTGGTGAAGGTCTGGAAGCACGTCTTGATTGTGTGGTCCATGCTGACCCTCCTGCAGAGGTCACATGGTACCAGAACTCATTCCTTCTACAACCTACAGATCGTAGGGTTATGTCCCATCAAGGACAAACGCATACATTGAATATACGTAACATACAATTATCTGATTTTGGTAACTACAGCTGTGTTGTGGTTAATAGCATCGGAAAGGAAAAGAAATTCATTGAGTTATCCGGAAAACTGGGTCCTCCTGCTATCACAAGCTCGCAGTATTCTATGCCGCATGAATATAACCTTACTTGGAATGTGCAGAGTGTGTTTCCTATCATGGAGGTTAGGATATTATATAGGATGATACAGGTAAATCAAATTGAAAAAAATTTTAAAATTGAAAAAAAAAATTTTTTAATTTTTTGTTTTTTGGGTTTAGATTAATTCTACTTACCACCACCCTGGTCAATGGCATGATTTACTAGTACGTCCACATCAGTCTTTCAACCCCTCAACATCTGAGCGTTCGCAAAGTTATCAACTGCGTAATCTACAAGCAGAGTCTGTGTATGAATGTCTGGTGCAGACGAAGAACCAACATGGTTTCGGGGAGTTGTCTGACTTGCATCAGTGGTTCACTTCTCAGAAGGGTAGGCCCTTTGTGTCGGCCAATACCGCGTCCTCTTTTAATATTAAAAATAATTTGATTGGTGTTATTTTAAGCTGTGTTTTATTGATTTTTATCCATGGCACATAATATTTTATTTAAGTATTTAACTGTATGTATTTTTATATATTTTAATATACCCTGTATATTATGTTTTTGAGCACATGATGATTGTATGATTCGATTGATGAGTTAATGTGAAATGAAATGAAATGAAATTCAAGTCTGCCTTTGATAAGAATAAATAATTATTAAACTATATGTATTAAAAGGTGTTGTGTGTTGTGTGTTGCCTAATTCTCGATTATAACCAAACTTTTCAGCTTGGTGTGGAGAATGGAGTTTTCCACGCTCGGGGAGAGCGGAGGTATAGTTGGTAGGTAATGAAATCTGGGAAATTAGTTCCCGCATGCAATCAACCTTCGTCGCCTTGCTGTGCAGGGGGGTGGTTGGGGTGGTAGTGGTGGTGGCGGTGTGTGGTGTGATGCGCACGGCGTTGTGGCGTGTAATTTCCCAAAACGCCGTCGGACATCAGCCGCACAAGCGTACGAGCGCACATAATGCAACACTATGCATACAAATTGAGAACGACCGCGATCGAAATATGAGATAATAAAGATATTAAGGGCGTTTTCAGTGTGGAGGTTTTTTTTTTCTTTGTGTTATAGGGGATGTGTTTTTGGATGGTGGCGTTTTGGAGTAGTGACCGTTGTATGGGATGAGGTAGGTTTTATGCTTTTTATATGATAACTTGAGTTTTCTTGTTAAATTTTAAATATCCTGCAATTCCTTAGAAGTTTCAATGGTGCTTTGAGGTAGCCCTTTGTCAATTTGTAGATGAAGAGTGTTTCTATAAAATAAGTACTTTATCCTATCCATAAACCTTCAGGAAGTGCCCTAAAACTTCTTTCAAAAATTGATATTTTTATCAATTTTCTAAATTTGTCGTGGAAAACATCCTGTATCTGCTGTAAAATTAATGCAATTTATAATTTCTTTTAAACAGAATATGGATAAAGGGTGCCTCTAAGGAATGTGTGCTATATCTACCCTTTGGACCCTTTGAAAGTGCCCTAAAAATCTTTTCAAAAGTGTATATTTTTTAAGATTTCTAAAAGTTGTCGCGGAAAACACCCCGTATTTCCTGTAAAACTAACACAATATAGAGTTTTCCTACGTCAATTTATCGATATAGAGTGCCTTTATAAAATAAGTACCTAATGCACCCTCAAAATCCCTGGGAAGTACCCTAAAAATTCCTTCAAAAGTTGCTATTATTTGAAAATTTCTAAAAGTTGCCGTGGAAAACACACTGTATCTCCTGTAACACTATTACAATTTAGGGGTTTCCAACGTCAATTTATAGCTGAACAGTACCTCTACAAAATGATTATCAAATTCACCCTCTAAACCCTTGGAAAGTGCCCTAAAAATCCCTTCAAAAGTTGCCATTTTTGAAAATTTCTAAAAGTTGCCGTGGAAAACACCACGTATCTCCTGTAAAACTTATGCAATTTGGGTTTTTTTTTTTTATCAATATAAAGACAAAGAATATCTCTACAGAATTCGTACTATATACACCCTTTAAACCCTTAGTAAATGCCTCAAACTGCCCTCTTAAAGATGCAGTTTTTTCAATATTTTTTTATTGTTTGATCGAAAAACAGGGTTGAATACTTATATTTTTAAATTATTTTTTGTTTAAAAACAGGGCCAAACTCTTTTTTATAAATTATTTTCTGTCAAAAGTCAGGGTTGAATTAATATAATAAAATAATTTTTGCTCGAAGAACAGGGTCGGACTTTTTTGGTTAAAAACTTTCGGTCGAAGAACAGGGTCGAACTTTTGGTTAAATTTTTTGGCTCAAAATCAAAATAAAACTTTAAATACTTATAACTTTTGAACTAAACGGACTAAATAAAAAATGCTTTCATATTCTTTATGCTTGGAAAATTCCTACTATAAAACCATATTTAAAATTTATTAAAATAATAGATTTCCATAAACGTGAATAACTCATTAATTAGAAAAGTTACAAAAAAATTTTATTAGGATAAACAATGCGCAATTTAATCTTCCTTCCTAATCTGCAATCAAATTTTAAAAAATTCAAAATTTTATTATTTACGTACGTGTGAATTTGCATGTGTGTGAGTCTGCACAATTTCGGGTCGAAACCAATGGTAAATTCAAGTTATGTTATCCGGATCCCAGAATGTCGAGAAGGCTGAAAAGATTTGCGCGATTTTTGATAGAATTTAAAACAATTTCTTTCTCTCTCTTCTGTCTCTTTTATTTTTACATTCTCTTTCTCTCTCTATCTGTCTCTCTCTGTGTGCACGACAATTTCGGGTCGAAAATGAATAATAAAATTGGTGTGTACTATTCGGATCGCAGGAAGTTGAGGAGGCAGAAAACTTTCGCGGGATTTTTGAGCGACTTCGACATAATTTGAAATCGATTTAAAGAATTTCGATGGATTTAAAAATAATTCCACAACAAAATGATTAAAAATGGGCTAAAATGCTTATGTTTAGAAGCAATTTTAGGGAATTTCTAGGTACTTTAGAAGATGGAATTATATTCAAATTTATAAATCAACTTTTCCTTTATTAATTAGCGTAAGTAATAATCCAATTTATGCAGAAACAATAGAGATACAGAGTGTTTTGTAACGCATGTTTTAAGATGTTGAAAAAATGCTGCATTTTGAAGGCACTTTTTAGGCATTTCTAAGTCATTTGGGAAGCTGAAAAGTATACCAAATGATAAAGCAACTCTTCTTCCTTAAATTACTTAAAATAAATCTTAAATTGAGCAAGAAACAGCGGAGATACGGAGTGTTTTCCAATATTCGTTTGGTAACTTTTAAAAATAGTTGATGTTTAAAGTCATTTTTAGGGCATTTCTAAGCCCTTTAGGAAGCAGGCAAATATACCACACGATTAAGCAACTCTTCTTCTTCAAATAATCTAAAACAGATCCAAAATTGAACTAGAAACAACCGAGATACAGAGTGTATTCCAACCTCTGTTCTGCGAATTCATAAATATAGTAGATATTTATAGACATTTCTAGAGCATTTCTATATCCTTTAGAAAGCAAAAAATAATAGAACCCGTAAAGAAACTCCTTCTCTTTAAAACAATAAAAAATCCAATAAGATAGACATAAGAATCTTTGAGATACAGCGTATTTTGTATTAGGTACTTTGAAATTTCCCAAATAAGGCAACATTTGAAGGTCGCTTTAAAGGCATTTCTATGCACTTAAAAGAACAGAAAATATCTAATTACGATTAAGCATATCCTTATCTATTATTTACCAAAAAGAACAACAAAATCGAGCTATAAATTATTAAGATACAGGGTAATTTCCATACCAGTAAATTGTTAACTTCATAGTTAGAGTTGAAAAACATGAATTTATAACTTCAAACCTAAAAACACTATAAAAATGTTAAATCCAAGAATAAAAATCTTCCCTATTCACTACTCCCTATCATTCTTCCCTAAAAAAATCCCAACCCCACCCCCACACTGATCGGATGCATAAATAAAAACGAAATCAATTGAAACACACATAAATTTGTAAAATTGTGCAAATGAGCAGAAGTAATCGTATGCGAACCCTTCACAAACATAGCGGCGGGTTGTTTGTCGCTTTTGGCACCATCACCACCACCACCACACCAACCACCCCCGCCCGAATGCAAATTCATTTTGCGCGCCGCTCGTGCCATTATTCCAACACGCCGCAGCAGCGACAAACCTAGCGGCATGTCGTTCCGAATGTCGAATGTCGAAACATCATCACCCAGCAGAGGGAATTCACCCCTTGACGCCGCCATCCAACTTTACAGCGATTTTGCAACTCGGAATGCAAAACGCGAATCAAAATGGGAATACGAATGCAAATTTAATGTCATTACGCGATGGCACACGTGCGACACATCCACCCCGGCCGCCATTTTGTCAGCGCCATCATTGACTCGTAAAATTTCAGCCAAAAAACGCGATTGCAGTGTATAAACAGTTGAAATGTGCGAAAATATGAAGAGGACAGCTTGAATTAATGACGCGCACACGGTAAACAACGATTATTCCGGCGTTAGTGTCGCCTGCACGCGGACACAAAATGGCCGCGCAGTGGAATACTGTATGACTGCAACACGCACTGCAGATATGCATTTGTTTCATTTCATTATGGAGCTGCATGTGTCATGTCACTGTGCACTCAAATAAATAATGCTGAAATAATAACTTTACACAAACATTCGTATCAGGAGAATACAGATGGACGTAAACTAGGTTATGTTGTAATAATGTGTTATTGTTTGGTATGTCAGAGGTGTCGTGTTTGTAATTATTGTAATTGGCTTGATTGTTAATCAAGGCAGGCTTGGGAGAGCGCTGATAATCATGGCACCGGGGGTGGTTATCTAGCGACACAGATTGAGACGTCTAAATTAGACATTAATGGCGATTAATTAGACAACAACACAAAATTATATCGTGAAGTGAAATATTTAGTTTGAAAGCTGATAACTTGGAAAGTATTCAAGATATTTTATTGATTTTTGCTGGGTGTTGTAGAGTAACTATTTGAGTATGATTTATTAATTAATTTAAGGTAATATACAAGGTGGAACATGAATTATTTGAATTTTTATTAAGTAAGACATAAAATATGAAATATGAAGTTTAATAATTAATAACATAAAAACTAACAAAGTTATGACAATTTTCTTGATAATATATTATAAACAAACTAATTGGCTATCTTTTCCCAAAAAATGATAAATTTATACCAAGTGGTTCAAGAATAAATGGCATTTTATTAAAGTAAAACACAAAATTTTTACTAAAACGTATTAACAAAATTTGAATATACTTTAAACATAAATAACAGAGACACTAATTAACATATCTACACAATTTTTACAACATATTATAGAACAACTATATACATAATTATTACCACTAATTTTGTCCATATATACAAGGTGAAACCATAATTATTTGCATTTTATTAAATAAAACACAAAATATGCAATATTAAGTTTAATAATTAATAACTTAAAACCAGTAGAGATACAACAATTTTCTTAACAACAAATTATGTACAAATTAATTGACTATATTTGTTTAAAAATTATAAATTTATACCAAATGGTTCAAGAATAAATCAAATTTTATTAAAATAAAACATAAAAGTTTTACCAAAAACATAACAAAATTTTTATAAACTTTAAACATAA